CCTGCGCGGGGCGGGGCGGAGGGGCCGCTCCCCGCGGCCTGCCTTGGCGAGCACCGAGCAAACGTCTCGCCAGCGAGTGCCCGGGTCTCCGTTCCCGCTGCGAGTCTGCACTCTGCCAAGCACACAGAATTACAAGATGCAGGGCGGATATTCAGGGCTTTAGCCGAGCCAGTGAGTTACAAAGATTTGAAACAGCTGAGCAGTTGATCAGGTTGTTGTTTTTTTTTTTTCTTTTCTTCCCCCCCCCCGCCTGACGATTATTTTATTTTTAGTCGTGTAGGTTAAACATGAACTACTATGAAACGCAACATCTTTCCGGGTTTGATTGGCAAATTTTTTTCTTGACATTTCTGTGAGCTTTTGACAGAAAATTTTGTATTCTCTGACACATAAAGGGGTGAGTGATACTTTAAAAATACGTTGGCATCAGGGGTGGCCTTGAGCTGGTGTGAATAACGGAATAACGGCCCAGGCGGGAGCACTCGGGGCACCTGGTCGGCCTGGCTTAGGCATCTAGATCGAGGGATTTCAGGTGACTGAAATCAGACGTTTCCATGAAATTTCAGCTTCGTATTTATTCTTCGCACGTTTATAAATTATAAACAAGTTGGTGGAATTATGATTTTTTTTTTAAAAAAAAGATTAATCTTTTTAGTGAATTCACGTGATTTTCTGCAACGTAGAATTCGCACAGATCTGAGGTCGGAGTACACATTCAGAATACCGAAGGTTTTCCAAGTTTCAATCCAGAATGGAGCTGTCGGAAATAAGCCTGTACTATTCTGACAATAGGATTTTGCCATTACTTACTAATTAAAGGTTATTACAGCAAAAATCATGTGTACTGCTCATGCTGCCCATTTATAATGTCCCATTCTGAATGCTTCCTCTAGCTTCAGCAGAAATTGCAGGTTTTGAGGCTCCTTGTAGCACTTTAATAATCGTTACAAGCGCACAAAATCACTAAATGAAAAAGCATGTAGAGGATATTTCAGTAATTTACACAGTAAAGCTAAATGTGTCAGTTGGAATACTTGGTTCTTCGGAGGAATCTTCTGAACCTGCGTGTTTGCTACCATGCGTTCAGTTACGAGGTTTTAGCTCTTAATTGGTAATTAATTAGGTTTCCTTCCTATCCCATCTATTGCCTCAGCAAAGTTAAGGAAGAGTGCAGTTCACTTCACAGAAAAGTAGATTCTCATCCCCTTATTCTTGGCACTAGGCCTAAATGACATGCTAGAGAAATTCGGCTCTTCAAAGATTCAAAGTGATTCAGTTACTAAAATATTGGGGCATCATTCTTTAAGCAGAGCTCTGTACTGAAACACACACTGATCTGTATGTAGAGGCGGACGGCATTCTCAGATTAATTTAATTGAAAATGTTCCTCGATTGTAAGCAATATTTCTGTAATTTTTCATAGTTGCTATGAGAAGTAAGGGCTGTTTTTTTTGGATACAAATCCAAATCTAATCTAGGTATTTATTTCTACTGGCACCCACAGTATAGAGTATATATTACTCACAGTGACCCATTCATTGTCTTACACTTATGCTGTAAGTCCTCATTCTTTAGAAATATATGGACATTCTTAGCTCTATAGATGGTGGAATCTTGATTTTATGGCATCTATTCATATTACATAAAACAAATTACATACAGACATTTGCAGGATTAAAGCTACAAGATGTAGGCTAAAAATATGCGGTGATTAACTGTATAGCTCTCTCTGCAGATCTAGAATAGATATAACTGTTGTTAACTCTGAATCTGCCAGTTCTCACACTCCTATAGTCAGGATGTGAAAGATCCAAGCACAGTTTTTCCCCTCAAGAAAGCACTTGTAAGAACACCTGGTAATATCACTAATTTTCGGTTTCTTGTGATGTTTTTATTCAAGGTATTTATTCAGTCCCAGTTTACGACTATCTGGGCGATTTTCGTAACAACACCAAAAAATGGTAACTGTAGTTTTAGCAATAAATAAATATAAGTTTAACCTCTAAGGTTCCTAAAAACCTAGGCAGCACTCGGTCAGAAAAGGATAGGTGATCTGTAACTGTGCTGTAAAGCACAATGCATTCCAACCACTGCCGCAGCCAGACAGAGCTTTTGGGGGCGATAGAACAGAACTGGCGTTCCACAGGAAACGTTGACATAGTATTCTCTCTGAACTGGGACCAAGTTCAAATTGCTAATCCAAATTAATAGAGAAATACCAGATGTTTTGTTATTAAATTCATACTAACAGCCCCTTTCCAATCAGCACCGGTCATTTCAGAGCGCACACTACCCATTCTATCTGACTGCATCGTTCGCGGGCCGCTGGTCATGATTTTGTGTCAGGTGAATAATTTGTCACCAGGGAAAGGCAATCTAGATTTTTATCTCCCATATAGATGCGAGAAAAAGAGAAGATAATCTGCAGTTCCTCTGTAGATGCTAAATTATGGCTCCCCAGACAAGTTCTTATCTCCCAATCCACAATTCATGTCTATCAGCTTAAAGTCAGTGAATCAACTCGAGCTTTAAGCTCCAGGAGATGTACAAAAAGGCCTTGGTTCTACTCTTCCAGGTTTTGTAGGCTCTGGCCACCAGTGATACGTCTCTGAGAAACTGGGTAATGGAGTGAGCATGTATAAATTAAAATCCTGCTGTTTTCTTACCGTGAAGTTAAATTTAGAGGCATTTCGGTGAAGTTACTTCAGTACCTGACTTAGCAGAACTGGACAGTTCAGTTTGCTGTATGGCTCCATACTGCGCTTCTACAGGCAGTTGGTATTTCTTTTCTGAACGTTTCCAAGGTGACGGTAGCTCATATATGGAGCTTTCTAGCTTTTAGGCAGGAAGACATGCCAATAATGGAATCTTAATTTTGCAGTGTGGTTCATGTCAGATTACATAAAACAACTTCTCTGCCCCTATTTGATGATACTGGGAACAATGGCGAAACACTGAAAAGCATCTTATCAACGAGTTGTCCTTACAGAGGCAGTCAGAAGGAACAAGAGGGGCATTTGCTATCAGAGCACCCCACGGAGGAGTGACCCGGGCTGTCATCAGCTGGGAGTGCCCCACTGACAGCAACACATCTGTAAAGCAATCATCTCCCGTCCTGGAGCTAGCCCTGGCTCAGGGGCAAAGTGGGGAATTTCATCCCAAATGTGTCGCATGGAGGAAAGAAAAAGAGGGCAAAGTGTCTGGCCGTGCTGCGCTTCATGATTATCCAAAAAATCTATGCAGACTGAGGGAGGAACTGGATGTTCTACAGAACATTTGGAAACAGACAAAAAACTAGATTTCTCAGCCAGCGCTTTAGGTGAAAGGAAAATTAATGTTGTGGTTACACTGATATTTATTAAATACAGACAAATTTGTGTTGGCGCCACGGGACAGTGCAAGTACAGTACAACCTCTGAAATGAGCTAAATATTCCCACCATGCGATTGCTACTGATATTCCCAAATCTCATTTATAAAAATAGGCATATGTGTGTAATTTATATATCTAGAGACATTTGGTGACGTTGCCACAACAGTCTTTCACGAGCTGTTTATGTGGGAATCGTGGGAGAGTGAAACTAATTATCCATGTGGTGCATTTTTTGCCTCTAAAAATTCTGTGTGACAATATGACATCTTTTCTTTGCTGGCAGCAAACCCACCTGTCCTGTTCAGAAAAGGATCTATTAAGAATATCAGGTAGTGCAATGCAACTGTAAAATAAATTTAAATACTGTCCTTTTGATACGCTCTCAAAATCCTGAGGTAATAAAGGACTGGGAAAACTAACCTGGCCCAAATCACTGAGCATATTTCTCCTCAATCTCATAAAATTATGCCCTCCAATAAATTATTTTACAGTAGCAGTTACAAAAGGATGGATGACTATGATCAGGAAAAAGTCACACCTGTTAAATTCTCCAGAAGAAAAATACTTGACAGATTTTGAAATGTGGGTTTCTGGTTTTGATGATAGTAAAATACTACGTTAAAGTTTTGACCTTTGCTTGATACTTGAGAAAGGGTAAATACTTCAAAAATTAGTAATTGTTCACATAGTAATAATAATAATAATATAGTAATGTAATATAATATAGTAGTAATAATAATGTTTGAATTGTATTTACTTGATGGGCAGAGCCCATCAGCTTTTGATAGACTGTCATGGTCAGATAATACAGACGTACTGAGCGAGGTATCGCGTCGGTCATTATGACGTTGCTTTGGCAGATCTACAACGGCTTTGTGTGTACAACGGCAAAGGCGAAAGTTTGTTCCAAACTGTAACTCTGACCTGACACCCTGGTCGTGGTGGAGCAAGTTTGATCCCCTCTGGGATTTGGCCCCCTCCTGGGACCCCTCTGAGCTCCATGTGCAAGGTCAGACCATAGGCTGGGTAAAAGCTCGTGCAGGGACTGAGGAGAGAGGCAGTCATTTAGGAGAGTGACAAAAAGGCTTAAGAAACATTTCGTATGATGGGCCATCTTTTTAAAAATATTTGACAGCTAAAGGAAAAGCTTTAATTATTTTCAAGAGGATTAGATGAGAAAGATTTGGGGAGCTTATTTACTTTGTTTTGTTTTGGTGTTTTAATAGCTATTTTAATTGGGTTTTTTTAATCTACCTCTTGAGCAATTTTAATCTGTCATTGAAGACGTTGTACAGAGTTGAGGATATTCTGCCAGAAATGTAAGAATTTGAATACACTGTCGATCGTTTATCCCCTCTCTTCCCTTTGCCTAATGGGAATTATTAATTTTGAGTGTGGGTCTACATATATATGTGTGTGAGTATACATGTGACAACCTATTTTGCTTAAATATGTATGAAGCATCAACTAAACCCAAGGCTGAATGACCTAGCATTTGTCTTTCTTCTATATAATACAGAGGATATAATTAAGGCCCATATACATCAAATGTAATTTATTTATCTGAGAGAAGTTACACATTTATTTTAGGATTTTGTGGGAAGGGATCTTAGAACATCTCTTTTTCTGAAGTACAGACACAAAGTGGTAGCTAAATCAGTCCTGTGAAAATAACATGAGATTTTGTTAAACCCAGGCACTATTATGGTGCTGATGGAAAACTCCCCGTATACATTTCTTTCATTCATGATGACATTATTAATCCAAATCTATAGTATAAAACCTTGATCATCCAAGATGATTTCAGCAATTGGATAAACATCCCTATGCAGTGCCCAGTGAAATGAACGGGACAGTTCATTTTTCCCAGGGATAATCAGAACCCTGATAATATGCCTCGATTACCATATTTTTTTTTCCCCCAAAATACTAAAATCCTGAAGCTAAACATATTCCCATCACAATTGCATTGCAGTCACCTTACTGTGATACCTTCAGAGCTGCTGAAAAATGAGCATAGTGGTAGAACAACTAAGAAAGAGAATTAGCTTAATGAATTTAGAGAAAATTTGTAGGTGATACTCTTCCTCTTTTTCTTTTCTTTTTTTTTTTTTTCAATATCAGAACCACTGACAGCAAAAACTTTTCCATGGCATCAAAGTGAAGAAGGACTGAAAGTGTAGTTGTTGTAGAAATACAATTCTTTTGGTCATGACTCTTTTAGAGGACTGCCACTGTATTTTTACTTGTTTTAATGGTCAGATCTGTAGCAATGTCTATCCCTTTGGAGCATGTGTTGCCATGATGAACTTATACCAACACACAAATACACACACACACACGCTGACATGTGTAAGAGACACACACACTCACTCTAGATGTACAAACTGCCTCAGCTGATTTTTGCTATTTTTACAGATGTATGCTGAAGATACAGAAAACTCTTCTTTTTTTACTAGTAAATCAGATGACACTGTCTAGCCAGAGAAAAACAATACCAAGGAATTCTCAGAGGAGGTACATAGCTCATTGGAACACCATCTTTAAGAACAGGAAAAATTAAAAAAAAAATGTCAACTGACACTATGCTGAAAGGTGTAAATCTGTTCTATTATAGGGAGAGGCAGAACCATTCTACTCGTGTGTCACCCTGTGAACTCCGTTTAAAATCTTTTGGTTTCCCTCCTCAAAAAAAACCCCAGTTTTCATGCAACAACCCAACCACTTGAGTTCAAATTGAGGTGTTTTCCTCCTTCGCGTGCATTGGCCACCGGCATGACCATTGGAATGGGCAGAGGAAGGAAATGATCAGAAAGAAAATACCGCACACGCCGCCCTTCATACTTCCACATTTATGGTGTTTGATCGTATATGTGCGTGTAGGGACGTTTGTGTGTGTGTTGTGCACATCAGAACATCTCTTCTTCTGGATCCCACGGGGATGTTATTCCTCTCACCCACCACCCCTGAGCTGCCATGGGAAATATTGGTATTGAATAATAGTAGAAAATTAAGTATATGAAGAGGTAGATGGAACACTTTACCCCAGGTGCATCCTTTCATTTGCTTAAGGTATCTCTGCACACTCATTTTTGCTTTACGATCTAATTTCTCGAAAATGTCTCCTTCACAGTGTTTCCTTTGTGGGTTGGTTTTCAAATTGTCATTCGAGATTGAACAGCACCAAAAAGCAGAGGAGGCGGAGGAGGAGAGAAGAAAAGAGCGAATATGGAGGAGAAAATCGACTTTGACCTGCAAGTAAAGATGAAACCAAACTCCGTCCCGAGGAGCTCCCGGGCGGGCTGCCCTCCGGAGCCGCACGATGTCAGCCCCCGAGCAGCCGTGGGATGGAGGATTGCAAATGCAGCCCCACAGCTCCCTGCTTGCTGAAGTAACCCGAAGCGTTTCACTTTAGAGAAGCCCCTTAGGAACCTGAGAGCGACGAGGCAGAAGTTTTGTCAAAGCCTGGCTCTGCCTCTTTCGGTTCTGTGCCGCCAGGCTGGGACGGCTTTTAGAAAGCGAAGAGGGGGGCACCTGAGAGTGCCCCTGCTCAGACTCCCTCTTCCTGCTGGCAGACGGGCTCTGCAGCTGCGGTGGCCGCGGAGCGCTGCCG